TGAACCTCTGGATGTTTTAAGGATATTATCTACAGTGATCACCGAAACGGCATGCACAAAAACTTCGTTTAGAGAACTCGTGTGGGGGCCCAGGAGTTTTAAAGATATAAGTCTTCTATCGTTCAAACCAATTCAGGAGAGGGGGAGGGGGGGATGGACCGAAACCACCATTCTCGTCTGGACTATAATACCATTCAACATTCCGGATTCCCCACAAAGTTCACCTAAATGTACGAATTCTATTATTATATACTGCCGTCGAGTTACCCGTCGCCGTCGAAACGCACGATACAAATCACATTTATTGTTAATCAAATGTGCATGGGTGGAAAATGTATTAGGTTGGACGGAATTTGGGAGCGTTGAATTGGTGAACAATTGAGTATATGGTTAGTATAAAAATATGACAATTTCAAAACGTTAGTGCCAAACAATCAGAAAACAACAATCAACTAAAGACCAATTTGAAAAAAAAATCAACTAAGACTCTACTCTGCCGAAGGAGTTCTCCACAATACAATAAATCGAGGAAATAAACGATAGATAGCCGATTGAAACCCCCACTTCCTCAAGATGTCCTACTGTCACCTGTATTATCGGCACCATCAACTTAACTTTGAATAGTTTTGTACATTTACATTCAAAATGTTATCATTTTTTAAAATATTATTTATCTTTTATTAAAATAGATAATTCATTAAAAATACACTGTAAATAATTAAGCATGCGTTGAAATAATCAAATAAATAAATAATTCAAACAAAAAACTAAGGTAAAATATTTAGTTTACTTAAATAGGATATTATTTAGATCTTATTACTTATGCATATATGGATAGATATAATTATACTGAAACATCTATAGTGGTTGTTACTGAATAACAATTAAACAAAAAAATATAAAATATTATATTGGTAGGTAGCCAGACAGGTACACAGAAAGAAATATATTATAATTTTTTTTCCTTAGAATTTTTATCATTTCAGATTTCAATACGAATGAAAAACGTGTACGGTTTACCTACCTAGATATTTGAGTAAAAGTTGTTTACATATTTTAACGTTCAGCGTTTCAAATAAAAGCTCCTATTACAATGGACACACACACACACAATATATTATAGCTGAAATGTACGTACGATATTCATCCCGTGCATTGAAAAGTCGCCGGTACAGCGGACGATCGTAAAAAAAAATTCGATTCGTAGGTGGAGAAATGCGTCTATTATTATCTATATACAATGATTTCTAAGACCTATAAGAAATGAGACGAAAAAAAGACGAACGCCACGCAACAGGCTTTTCAAAAGTGAGAAACAAAACAATCGAGGCCTACTCGTAAAAAATACCTCTGCTGCATATTATGCACTATATACATAGTATACACTATATTATATATATTAAATAATATATATGCCTTATGATGGATAATATAATTTTATTATTATTTACAGTGTAATACACATATCTAAAGTAAATAGTTTCATTTTGTTGGTATTTAAGGTACGGATATTTACTGATAATTAATACTATGTGGTAATAAATAGAAATAATTCTATGTTATATTTTAAATCAATTAAAAAAAAAAAAACAAATGCCTGTAAGTATAAATAGCTTACAATTTGTCTGAATATTTTGAAATTTTCACCGAGTAAAGAAAATTATGATATGAGTTATGTTAAAATATTTCAAGTATCTACGGTCACTGTTTTTGAATAATTACTAAATAACAATTAATATTGGTAGAGGCTATCGTTATTATACGTTGAAATATTTACTGTCGTCAAAATACGTACTTCGATCGTTTATATAACATTTTAGTTAACTACAATGTTCTCTTAAATTTCTATTAAAAAAACTAATTGACAAATCTTGTATCATAGCCATAGGTGTTTTATAACTACAACATTATTTGAAAATTGTCATGAATCCTATGAATTACCTTAAAATTTGTAACTTTAAACGCTATACAAATGTGCATGTCGAATGTTGTATATGCGGTGAGATCACCTTATGAGGAATTTCGTATTCAATTTTTGAGTTGGTATGCAAAAACAAAAATTTTATCATAATTAAAACAAATAACAACTAATAATTTTAAAATATCTATAAATGGCATAAAACGTATTGAAGCCTTTTGAAATTGATATCATGTCAAGAAAATTCTAGTATAAATATTCGATAAAAAGTCAAATTTTTTGACTCTATAATGGGTCATCTATATTTGAGGTGCAGCAAAAAAAAAAAAACTGGTTTTGCAGCTTTTCACCATTTTTGTTTTGTTGGTTTTTCCTGATTATTTTGAAAAAAACTAGGAATTTTTGTTTTTACTTACCAACTAGTTACATTTTCCTACCAGAATCCACCCAGAAAGTTAACGATTTTATACTTAAATGATTAATTATTTGTGTACACAGGTCACAGACACAAAAATAAAAAAATCACATAATCACTGTAGGTACATGAAATACATTTATTGCATCTCTGAGAAACTAAAAATGTATCTTTATACTTGTTTTACTGTTCTACAAAATATTTTTTAATTATGGAATATTCAAATTAAATAATTATCCGATAAAATGTATTTTTATTTTTATACACCTTGATTATAATTTACACTTAATATTTCTTCCTCGGACACAATTTTATATAATTTCGAAAACATAAATTAATTTGTTTCAACTTCATTTGAAAAACATTTTTAAAGAAAAACGAGTTGTATTTCTATGGGACTTCAAAAATTAAATATTTAAGGTGCCTTTTTTAATTATTGAAATGAAACAAAACTCATTTCCTTAGTTGAAAATTCACTACTTATAATTAAAAACGTGATATAATTTTTTTATTTCCCATATTTTTCTGTATTAATATTATATATTTTTTTCGTTAAAAATCCTTTCCACAGTTTATTGCCTTAATAAAGAAAGAGCACTTTCAGTTGATTAACATTAATATTTCGAATGATAGGTCATGGAAAATGTAATAATTAAAAGTTCAAAAAATACGTTTTAAATGGTCGTGGTAAGTACATTTCTGTTACCTAACGTGAGAATCCTTTTATAGTTTTATCGCAATACCGAGTCAGTATGATCTATTTTCAGTGTTTTGAATCATCTTTTATTATATGTTGTGATTTTTCTTTTTTTATAATTAAAGGAGAAGAGATATTCTATTAATATTTCGGTGGAGAATATTAATTATTCAAGTTTCCTGTTTCCGTCGTTTATGACGAAAACTCTTTTGTGCCGATAAGAAGGCTTGGAAATCCAGTACAAAGTCATTTACTGCCTCGAGAGGAAAATCAAGATTGTTAGGATCTTTTGTTCGAATACCCTTGTTCAAGAACCGAAGCGAATTATTTAAAACAAGAGTATTTTGCAATTCGGGTTTTCATTCTCTTATGAAATTTGCATTTAAAACTCTAGCCATTTATTTTTGCAAACAGAAAAAAGAAAATTCTTGACTACCTACTTATTGTTTACACAACCTGTGTACTCGTAACACCCATTCAACAACACTTGTTTATATCATTTAAATACTACCCTCACGAGGTTTGATTAAAATCTGAAATGATGAGAATACAGGAAACGATTACTGAAGAAAAAATAATCGGAACATACAGTTGCTGATATTGAAAATAAAAGAAACAACGGACGTACATTAAATTGACCTACTTAATATTACTTTTTTTTCCTTTTAGATGTACACATAATGTTTACGAAGAACCATTTTAATTTCACTTATAGGTTGAAAAAAAAGTAAAGATTATAACAGTATACATAGGCTCAGACGAAATAACATTTCAGTGCTTCGTTTATTCAACGCTCAAAAATATTTTAAGAATATAATATAGGACAATGCTTTTAGATAATCATTTTTAATTACGGTTGATTAAAATAATAACTTTTATTAAAACTTGAACTTTTTTTTCGGTCATAGCTCGTGTTTCTGGGGTTATTAATACTGACCGAAATTATTTAATGTTGTTTACTTAATTTATTACTTCTGATATTAAATAACCCAACGCATTTTTCATAATTTTAGGTTGAAAACCAAACATCGGTGGAATTGTTGATACTTACGATTATTGTTCAAGTAATTAAAAAATATAAGTTTGTTCGGAACCTTATCAAAGATAATATATACAATTAAATAATTAAAAATAGATATAATTTATTGACATTGTTATATTACGTATATTATACAGCCATACAAATCTTTCTATTAATTAATAATATGATATACAATGTTTTTAAAATATAATTTCATAATAATACGAATAAAATATAACACAATATTAATTGAACACATATTATATTGAATTTACGTAATAATTACTATTGGAAATTTCTAAGTAAGTATAAGTAGTAAGTTACAAATAATAATTAACATATAGAACGAATAATGAAATGAAATTATGCTTAGGTTTATACTTTATAATTTCTTTTTAAAACAAAAGAAAAACATATTTATTCAAGTTCTACATAATATAATAGTATAATAACACTGTTGTTACTTCATTATTAAAAATGTTTTGATATAAAAGTTTTAATGTTTTTTATATTTTTAATTATTAGAACTAACCAAACTAGTTGTTTGAAATAAAATATTTTTGTTTAAACTATTATAATTAATGGAATTAAAAAATAACCAAAAAATAACTGCAGTATATTTTTCGTGTGCATTAGAAGTAATGAATAATATTCACCTCACGTGATTGGAATAGAACATTTCAATCAGAGGTTTGACCTTGAGGTGTGCCAATGCTTCGTGACTATGTACTCGAGTTTCCACAGACCCGCATTCGCCACGTCACCGTCAAGTCCGAACTTTAACTCGAGATACTTTGCAGCTCAACTTTGGGATTCGTGGCTCAATTGGAACTTTTGACTCAACCAGGGCAAATGGCTCAACTGCAAGCCCAGTCCTTCAGTGGTACACTCAGTGCTGTAGTCCTATAAAAGGCAGAGGGTATACTATGAGTTGTAATGTCAAACATTTTCATTTTCCATCTGCACCAACAATCCACGGATATTTTTCTTTAAATTCGATCCATTGAGACTCATTCCATACCACTGGCCACTTTTTGCTTTCGATATTACTGTTGCTACTACTAGGACTCACTAACGTTACATTATCGGCGGTTTTAGATATTTCTGGTATAATATTAATTTTTTTCATTTTATTCGGAGGGTTTTTATTATTTTCCGATTTCCTTTTTCTTTCTAACAAACTTCCCGTTTTTAACCAACTATCCATATTATAATTGCTTATGAAAATAGATTTGCAAATAAAATAAACATATACCTTTTTATTGATCGACTGGACATAACTTATACACAGATATGATATATGAATCACTTTCAACGGCAAAATGAAAAATGAACGAATGCATACACTACACAGTATTGAGTATACAGTACACACAACATACGGTAATGTGAGACGGCTGGACATTTTATTTTTATCTTAAATACAGAAATTACAGCACTAATGTTATTTGATTGTTATATTATCTAATCAACAGTAAATTTCCATCAATCGCCCAACATAACTATTTAATTATATATATATATATAAATTATTTTTTATACAAATTGTCTATCTTAACATTCTTAGTTTTTCTATCAAAAATATTAATAATAATCTAATGTTTTTTATCTTTATATTATTTGGTTATTTCACTACAACAGAGAGTATACGACCTCAATCAGAAGGTATACGGAGTTTATTAGAAAATAAATAACCAGAAAGTATACCGCCGTATACTCTCCACTACAGCACTGGGTATGCTCTACTATCCCGGTAGGTTTGGTTCCAGTGGTACTGCTCGTGACCATCCCTCACCTTGCACCCCCAACGCCTCCAGAACCCTATGTGGCTCTATGGGAAGATCGTCGTATTCATTGGCCACCTCCGAAATTTCGGTAAGATTTGGAGGCAGTCACTGACATTTTCAGTTTATACTTTCAGCACCTCACCTGTCCGCAATGATTCAAACGTACACAAAATATACACTTAATATACTATTGTACCTATGATATAATAATGTTCACAGTCTTAAATATAAATTTACGATCGTTAATGTTGAATTAACCGAATCAATATTAATTTAAAATATCGTTCTAAGCATTACTATCTTATCATACAGGCTTACGCAGGGGGGATGCCGGGTATGACATGGCTTCCCCTGCAGAGTTATCATAACCATAAAGTTTTTAGTTGTAAATGATTTGATTATACATTAGAATCATGAACTAAGATAGTTCATAGTATCGTAGTTCATGCATTTAAATGTTTTGATTATTTATTTATTTTATTGTCTTATTTTTAAAATATTGGGAGTTGAGACGAAATCAAATACTAATTAGATTTCACAATCACCACAGGTATATATATAAATAATAAAATAGATTGCCAACTCATATTAATATAGTTGAAATGAAAATATACCATTTTCGTGAGAATTGCGTGTTTTATCACCAGAACATTCAGGCCAATGCGGTATTGCTTATTTTTATACTACCTACAACTATCAAAAATAAAAGAATTTCGATTAATTAGATTATAATTTTTTTTCATTATTACCTATATTATTATAATATGATCAAATGTCTGGATTTTTTTATACTGTTACCTAATTTATTGGAATGAAATCACAGTACAAGCTTTTCAAATTAAAATATCTAAACCAATAAATAAGCTAAATAAAATGCATGCCAATTTCTTTTCGCATTATATCGCAAATTATTTGTACCTATTAAGAGTTTTTGGGGAGTTATTTTTTATATTGAGCTAGGTATGTTTAAAAATACCGTCAAACCCTGCGAAAAAAGTCTGCGCACGCCTATGATAATATGATATAATATCAGTACAAAAGGATTATAGATTTTTATTTTATAAATTCATAAAATTTAACAGATAAAAGATTGCAAGACGTTTAACATGGGATGTTTTTAAGTAAAAAAAATATACAAATGGTTATATTTGGTACCTACTACCTACAATAATGATTATTATGCTAATATTTGATTTACCTTTTAAAACATTTTTTGGCGTAGTTCAAATTACCACAAATCATACATTGCCAGCAACTATAAAGGTACTTATTATTACAAATAAACGATACACGATTTAATACTGTTTTTTAATAGAAAATTCCCTTCTTTGTGTTTATAAGACACAAGTAAGAAATATTTTAATTTTGCAACCGTAATTTAATTCGATAAATTAATAAATTAGATAAATGTGATGCTCTCAGTAAAAAAATATTTGAAATCACTCAAAAACAATTGTTATTCATATTTAAACTGTTTTCTTAGTTATACTGATACTGTGGGTATCTGAAAGTTTGCACTAAATGGTTTTTTAATGAATTATAATAATATGTAGGAAACTAAAGGTTTAACAGAAAATTAACAATCATAATGACAAAGGTTCGCATATGTTCTACAATAAATAAAGTTATTGGTTCGATGTTGGTGATAATAATAATTTCAACAAATAACAAAATTATCATCAATTTATCTTGAACGTCTTACTTGACGACGATAAAAAAAAAAACAAAAATAATAATAAAAATAATATTCATGGAGCTATTATTTGCGAGAATGACGTTTAATTTACAGAATATGACAAGAGTTAAGAGCGAGGATAGTGGATGAAAATACTGTCGGATTATTATAATTACTAACGGAACACAATCGGTTAATTAAAAATTTACAATGGACTCTCCATAGGTATATTATACTCTCAAGTATTAAAAAAAAACCGAACCTTAATTCCGACGCGGAACGAAAAACAAGAGTCTTTATGCAGAAAAACGCTTTTCTACCCTTCTTTAATGACCTTTTCTGAGTTCTTCGTCTTGTTTAAATTTTTTTTTTCATTTTCGCCAAGTGAAAGTCGTGTAAACAGTAAGATATATAAATATATACATATTAAAAAGCATAGCGCATAGCCACCAGAGAGCTATGTACAGTAAGTTAACTGCTTGTCTCGCGTTGATGGTACGGTACAAAGTTCGGGTACGAAATGAGAACAAAAAATAAAAATGTGTTTAATTGTATGAATAATAAAAAAATATGTGCTTACAAATTTTCATGGGGTAAAAAACACGAACTGAAAGTCTGCACGTATCCGCCTGTGTACAAAAAACTACTTGTTCATTCATAAAAATATACGTACCTACTCATTACATTATCAAATCATTACTATAATAGCTGTATTACATATTTCATAGCTTTTAGGAACACTCCTGTGTTCTGTGGAGATACAAACATTTGTTTTTCAAATGAGAACTTCCCTTTTCAACTTACTGTAAATTAACAGTGGATCATTTTTCTGAAATTGTTGACCTATCATAATCAAAATTCATATTGATAATTTTGAGTTATTTAATGATTTTATATACTCATTTATATAACAGAAGTTTGTATCGCCACAGGACATTCAATAGTTGATATTATGATCTATGAGTATATATTTAAAAAAATTTAAAAATCAGAATTTGAATAAATTCATTATTAAAGGAAAACACTGGGGGATCATGCTTGATGAATCACCCTGTATGTAGGTATATGTTACTATCAAGACTTAAGTTTATCAAGGAATAATTAACATGAATAAAGTTCCGATGAAATTAGACTGTATTATAATTCAAAATAACAATTAATCCCGAAGATTTTAGAAGGAAGTTAATGATAGTAAATAAATAAATTAAGAGAATATAATGCTTACATAATATATAGTGCCGTGATAGGAACAACACTTTACACAAGACGGCTTTCTCCTGGAATTCGTTTACATTCGCCACTCAGATCCAAGAGATAGGTTTCTTGTGTGTTACTCGCATGTCTATAATAAGTATGAAACGGTACTTACTATGAAGTAGAATAGCCGTTTACCAAGAATATAAATACATCTGTTTTATATATATATAATTAGTGCTTTATTTCTATTCAAACTTTTATGTTTACAATATTCGGGGATGGAAAATGTTGTTTTCCCGTTAATCTCTTATATAATATGAAAGGAGTTTTTTCTATTATACAATATTAGGGACGGAACAGATAATTGTATTAGGCCCGCTCAATTAAGTGGCGTCTAATCACAATCTCTGTTCGGGTCGAGCGAGGCCTAGGCAGGCGCGCTTGGGGGGACTTTCTTTTAATCAGTGTTGTCCTGAAAAGGACAATTTATTACCCAATGTCTTCCAGTTGGTTATCCAATTGGTAAGTTCTTGCCTCTGGTTGATTACTCTTCTCTGCGTCCTGTAAGGTCCCTGTTGCTAGTCGATCCGCCTGACCAAAATATCTATGTCACACGAAGCTATTAATGGCGCATCGAGTATCCGCATCGGAGTTCCGGTCTAAGCCTTTCTCCGATGTCGGATATAACGAGAGGTTACCATTTAGTTAGTCCCGTGGACAAAGATATATATAGGCCGATGTGTTGGAATGCCGCTGACCGTACGATCGATTTTGTGGCGATGCTCCAAGAGAGTTGCACACGGGATCGTACCGGTCGTCGTTCGTCGGTCGGGGCACTTGAACGCCGTGGACCGGAGTCGGTGTCGTCGTCGGACCGTGCGATCAATTTGTGGCGATGCTCTATGAGAGTTGCACACGGGATCGTACCGGTCGTTCGCTGGTTGAATATTCTTGAGGTTTCTTCGGGTCTTCAGTCTTCGTTGTAGTTTGGTTGAAGTGTGAAGAAGGAGTGAGAGTATATTTATGTTCTGTTACAAGTAGTGCGTCGGTTTGACAATATTATTCTAATTATGTTTTCTAGATATTGTCGATTAATTCCTATGGACGATGTCTTCTACTAATGTTAGTAATTAATGATATTGGCTAGACATATACGTTATTACATAAATTAATTCATTGACGGTAACATAATATATAATAATATGTATATTGTATATATATATAATATATATAGATAATATTCAACAAATTGGTAGTTGAAAAGGATTTGCCAAAATTCGCATTTTAAATAGGTGCTCAAACAGGGACATGGAGGTTCACGATGGAAATTGGAAATTTTATTTTTATTTATTAATAGTTGCCATTGGTTACAATCAACAGTAGAAATTAGTGTTTATTTATTATCGGTTTTATTCATCGGATTTTAGTACGGTTAGGTTAAGTAGGATTTTGTACTCATTTATTATATTAATCTACCGTAGGTGGAATTAAGTAAAAACGACAAACTTGGTAAAACTTTGATACTTTAGAGTTAAATTATGAATTTACGTAAAAACAGCACTGGGTCCGCGATCTAAAGCAGGTATATTGCCTACCTGATAATGTACCGCTGATAATCAGAATTTTTATTCCAGGCAACGGAAAAGTAAAGATAAACTTTGAACACCATACACCGAATATTAAATAACAAATTGAACAAAGGTTGAGTCATATAGAGTTGATACAAGTGCACAGGATCAGAACAGGATTATAACATAATATACTATATTATATTGTTATTATGTCTGTACAATATATTAAATTATAATCGATTTGTACTGATTCCATGTCTGACGTCCATTTTTCTTCACCAATGTCCATAAACGGTCGACACTTTATGCAGCAGGGGACATCGAACATACAATAATATAATCATAATTCTGTAACGAGTGCCTCATATTGTTGCGGTATGTGTTCCATTAGTTTACATATTTTTTTGAATTGGTAAAAAAAAAATGTTCAAAAAGTAGTTGTTCTAACTCGTATCAATATAATGATTTGTGAAAAAAAAATGAAACTTGTCTTAAAATATAAATAACCATTACTAAAATTGACTACACATCAACGCGTTAATAACCAATAAAGCTATACAATTGAAACAATACGGACTATTGGATACCGACGTACGAAGTGACGGCTTAAAAAGGAAATTAATATTAATATACAAAAAAATAATTATAAATGATTAAATTGAAAAGAAAATACGAGTGGACACAAACCTTAAAATAACGAATTCAACCATATGATATTGTGTGATTCGTATGTGCAAAATCAACCATCATGCTATTTGTATGGATAATAATGTAGTTGTTGGAACTCGGAGTAGAATTGTATTATTTTTTCCCTAAAGGGAAATAATGCAAAAGTATTATTCCGTTTTTCACTATTTTTATCGGAAATTACGATTTACATGAAAACGTATCAAGGCTTTTGTCATGAATGTTGTTATCGGTATATGGCATCCATGTCGGCACCAAAAAACAATGTTTTATCAGAAGGTGTATAGACAACAGTGAATAAAATAAAATAGCAAACCAGCATTTCATAATATTTAGTTGCTCTATAAATAGTTAATAAACATTTATTAAAAATAATTAGACAGTAGACTGCAGTCTGTTTTGGCCAGCTAAATGGCTCTGCCTTTGGTTGGTTTTATAAGCTGTTCGGGATTAACCTTTAATGTGTAACTTTAATATTATGATATTCATAGATCCTTTTAAGAAGCATCATAAAATCGAAGTGGAAGCGTTGGTTTCGATACTAATAGGTGGTGCGATAAAGTGTGTTTGGTCCTTCTAAGTCATGTCTCAATCGTTCATAGATCTTTTATTTTATTCTCATTAAAAAAAAAATTGAGATTTACTGTTTGTTACAATACTGTCACCCGGTCCCATATCATTTTTCATCAATTATGTACATGGATATTGACAGAGAAATATATTATACATTAAAGGAGGCCTCTAACCACCCTGTAAAATTGGCCTTTAGCCCAGAAAGCTGATTAGTTATACGTTTTCTTGAAGTGCTCTACCAATCCTTCGAAGACCTGCCCAGGTTTCTAGCAGCAATCATCAATCCTTTCCGGGAAGTCATATAACCTTTAGGGGTGGCGCGTAGTAGCTTAAATTTTAAATTGTATTGTTCTACCAAATTTCACTGTGTGTTTTGTGTTTCGTAATTTCTCCTCTCTCTCTTGGCTCGTTGTCGTGCTCAAGATCGCAATAGAATTAAGTTTGTTTCCCTAACGAATGTTATTCATCTTATATTTTACATATTATCTACCTACACAAAGAAGATGACGTCTCCATATATAAATGAAATTGTATTGTTCGAAAGATTATTTTCTTAGGCCTCTTGGTTTTCATTGTGTATTGAGACCACGTTTGCTGTTGAAGATTAGTCGGCCAAAGTTTTCCGAAAGTATAGTTCCCGATAATAGTAAAAGTCACGAGGGTCTTAAATGTATTTCATGATTAAATAAAGCACACGTAGAATTCTGTCTATGATAAACCAAACCTAACGCCCATCTATATTACTTACAATAAAAAAAAAAAAAACGTGTCTAAAATCTACTAAATCGTACACAGCACGGGCATGATGACAATGGCAATTATTTGAACTCCGTCGAATATCTTTGTTACTAAATATGATTATGCTATAAGTGTTACTATTGTCATAAGGAAAAGTAAACGTAGTACGAGTAAATGTACTAAACTATGATAAAATAACTTTAATATAATTCTAAAAATATGCTTGTTTTCGGCATATATCTGTTGAAAAGTACCAGACGATAGTAATACCTACGAGTTATTATTAAAACTAAAGTACTTTTTTCTCTTTATAATATATTACTATTACAACTTGAGTGAAATGGCTACATGATAATATACGTAGTACACCTAATATTTATGTCATTAGTTGATTAAAAACTCATAGGGCGCTTATTTTTAACTTTCTAGTTAAATTATCATTATTTTGGATTATCTATTAATTTCGCAGCACATCCATTAAAACACAATATTATTGTAATTACTTAGCGTTCAATATATTTTTTTGATGTTTTTAAACCGATCACTATCTTGCTCCACGCGACACAAAACCAACACCGCTTAAGCCTTGTTTGTATAGCTCACGGAATAGTTCGACACAATTTGCTTATCTATCTAGTTTATACACGACAACATAATATTATTTAATTTGTATTAACATTACACACCTGAGAGCCAGCCATGAAAAATAACTTAATAAAATATAATATATTAATGTCCTTATAGCATTGTCTTAAAAAAATAAAAATATATGACATACTAAAGTGATGAGTGAAATCGAAGAACTCCGATAAGTCGCATAGCTAAAATACAATCAATTCGTATCTTACGATACTATATATATAACTTAGAGATGAACCAAAGTTATTTTTTTTTCATCAACAATTATTACATAATATATTACTATCATTGTTGTAAAATAAGCAGTAACTCAGTTCCGTTTTCGAAGTAATAATAATAAAAAACATACTTATTACTTAGGCACAACTATAACGTATAATATTATGGCCATTGATGTTTAAAAATGAAATTAATGTTTCCATTTTAATAATTAATAGCAATACTAATTTAAGCAGAAGTATAGAATTTTTTTTAGAATATTGTAAGTTAGTGATATTCTGACTGAAAATACCGATAATCCACACCAGTCATGATTACCTTACTATATTTGCGGTACTGTTACCACAAGCAATTTTAATACATACCTTTTCTACCAAAAAAATTTTGTTATTAAAAAACCCGTTAAAAGATTTTAAATTGTCTTCGTAGGATTGTCTGATTATTGCATAGATCCCAGCATTACTTTTTCCAAGATCGATGAACGATGAAGCTTGACAACAAATAGTATGTGTGGCTCGTGCAGAAAGGCAAACTCAGTCTTGGGCGAAATGTGTCCCTCGACTGAAATAGCTCACTTCCCGCCCTTGCCCTCACAATATACTATTAGTTATCGCATTAAACTATTGAAAGTTGCGAAAAGTTTATATTTTAATTAACCACCACTTTTATTTTTCGAGCTAAATAACTGAGTGCAAGTGCTGTAAAATCCCTTTTATTCTTTAATACTTGTATTTTATAGTTGTAATGAGGTATCAAGAAACACAGAAGTTTTTTCCCAACTACGAAGGTAATGAATCTTTTTACAACTTTAAAATGCTACTTATTTTTTCAAGATTGTAAACTAATTGTTCAAGATTGTTTCCATCGCAATAACAATAGTTTACGGAACAGTGCATACAATATTGGCTCCTTGAAGTCGACACTGCATAGCATCTGTAATGATTCTCGACCATTTGGACTTATTTTCCACAATCATGTACTAAACTTTCAAGAAGAAGAACTCGATACGTACCGTTTAATCCGTACGTGGTGACTCGTTTCAAGGCTTAAGTCGACACGTATCTATGGTTACACACGCGACTTGTTGAACGCTGAGTGCCTCAGTTTTGGACCTATGCGTATCCATATACTAGAATTATTCAAATTGTTTCCTTAAAGATCTTTAAGACTTAAATATTTTTAAACTTTAGAAAAGTTTTATTTTTTAAAGTTTTAAGATCTTGCAAAGTAGATATTTTTGCAGGACTTAAAAAAAAATAAAAACGTTCGACGAGTGTTTAAAATATTTATAAATTATCCATCACGAATAAAATTCAATCAGAATTTTCTGTACCAAACATATATATCGTGATTAACGCGGCGCTGAGTACCTAACCGAATCCAAATCGACTATGACTCTCGCGGGAACACACTGAGGTCACATTATTATTTTACTACGCACTCGAATATACGTCGACGTATAAACGATACCTAAAAACTATAACGAAAACGGAGAGGGAAAATAAATCTTCAGTTTTTTTTTTTTTTATTTATGGTTTAATTTCCTTTAAAAAATAAAT